AATATAATGCCTTAGACAAATGTATGAATATGATATGAATGGTAATTAGTAATATTAATTAATTAATTATAATTCACCCTGTGACATTTATATAGATATTTATGTGAATTTTCATAAAGCATAACTTATTTGGGAAAACAAAGAAAGATAAGTCTTTAATTTTGGTAAAACTTGCGTTTTTTACTATAGAAAACAACGAAAATTCAGTTTCAAAACATCCCCCCCTCCGTGAAACAATAATTCCTCTTTACAGGTATTTACAGGTATTATGAAATGTTATTTCACAAATTCATACAGAAGGTTTTGTTGTTTCACCGGGAGGGAGGGGGATATGTTTACCAAACTAAACACAGGAAAATAGTCGTTTTATTACCAATTTCAAAATTCCATGAATCTTTGAAAATCTGGTGATGTTTTAAATCCTGATTTCAATTGATAAAATTTTCTACCCCTTATGAAAGAAGAGCAATTAACTTTTTGCCTCTGGTTTTCAAAATTATAAATTCATAATTAATGAACTTTTCTTTGCATTCAAACAAGTTTTAATGGCCAGATTGTCATTTATATTTAAATAGATGTAAAATGTAATCTGGAATCGAGAATTAGCGTGCGTAGTTCTTACAATGATAACAAAAACTGGTGGATTTAGAAATTTTTGAACTGTGAAGGCGAGGAAGGAGTAAATCCGAAGAAGGAATATTTCCTCTTAAAAACAAAATATTTAATTCCCACATTTTCTTGCAGACAAATAATTCAATAGTTTTTTGACGCGCCGGGGATGTGAGGGTGTTGGGTATCCAGCACTATCTTTTAGTGTTTCTTTTTACCTATGAAAAGTACCTGTATTTGCGAATTTTGCTGTGTGTCTTATTTAAATCGTTTTTATGGTTAATGTCAGATCTGTAAAAACATTGGTGGTGGTGGTGGGGGGGGGGGGGGGGGGGGGTTAGTCCCCAGTAAATTGCCAACATATACTATACAGAAGTGCAGTCTTAATAATGACACCTGTGACCTTTTTTATTACTTGTCAAAGGATTTCTGTTGGGTTGTGCCCCCCCCCCCAACTGGAAGATAAACTGTTTTTGCATAGAGTAATGCCTTTTATTATGATTTTTCATTAGTATTTCTAGTATAAATGCATCTAGCAACAATGTTACCAAAGATCCTACTAAAAGTTTCTCCCCCCCCCCCCCCCACACACACACACAATTGTTTTCTGACGTTATATGAACCTATAATCTCTCCACCGTCAAAAAAGCTATTGAATTATTTGCCTGCAAGGAAATGTGGGAATGAGATGTTTTGTATTTTAAAATTAAGGGGAAATACTCTTTCCTCCTATTTATTCCTTCCTCACCTTCGCCGTTTAATAATTCCTGAAACCGCGATTTTTTTTTGCAATTATTGTAATATCCTTGCTATCATAGGGTTTATTCAAGCATGCGTATTAAAAAAATTAAAGATAACAAAACACGCAATGTCATCTATAACCAGTAGCAGTTGGCAGTAAGCAGCTGGCAGTTGGCAGTAAGCATTGATCAGTTGACAGTAAGCCGCTGGCAGTTGGCTACGAAAGCCTATTAGGATCAAACTACGGTAAAGAAAAAAATTAAAAGGCGTTATAACGCCTTTTGAAAAGGCGTTATAACGCGGAAAAAGGCGTAATAACGCAAAAAAAGACGTAATTACGCCTTTCCAAAAGGCGTTATAACGCGAAAAAAGGCGTTATTACACTTTTCCAAAAGGCGTTATTACGCCTTTCTATAACAGGCGTTATTACGCCTTTCTAAATAGCGTTATTAATGTAAGAAAATTTCACTTGCCTTTATTTGCCCTCTTTCCATTTCCATCCAATAAATTTCATTATAACGTAACCTGTCTTCTTTTAAGGTATGTTCGTTTGTTTCATATTAATTCAAGTCTTATTGTCATATGTTTCTTTATTTTATTGTATTAACTTTATTATGTGTTCTTATGTGAAATATGTTGTTTAATCATGATAGTTTTATTTCAGATTATTTTGTAATTCTCTCTTTCCATTTCCATCCAATAAATTTCATTATAACTTAACCTGTCTTCTTTTAAGTGACGTATAATAGAGTCACGATCGAAGACTGCTGTTGGTGAACACCCTCACTACTGTACAACCAAATAACCAAGCATAACTCAAACTAGATACTACCCCAAAGAAGCAACTACTACACACCCGAAACACGTACAAAATTATTACGCCTTTCTAAAAGGCGTTATTACGCCTTTCCAAAAGGCGTTATTACGCCGTTATTACACTGTAAAAAATGTGCTTAGGAAATAAACACTTCCATTACGTGTTTAGATCTAAACGTGTTTGATATTGTGTTTAAAAACAAAACACTTATGTCTAAATGTATTTAAAATCTATACGCGTTTAGATATTGAACATGTTTTATGTTTTAAATTCGGTCAAGTGCAGAGTTATCTTCCCGGAAATGATACATATTTGAACGTTAATAAGCGCGGTTGTCGAAACAAAGAAAATCACAACAAAACAGTAAACGATGTTTTCAAGAAAGCTGATGAGAATTTGAGTGCCAACCACCGCAGAAATAGTGAAAAACATGTGAAAGGCTCATTGTTATTGCTATAGGGTATGTATGCTTTTGTTTTTATATAAAATAAACATGATGAGCAAAGTAAATAACATTGCACTTTATATCAAGGATGTCTTTCGGTGTCATATCATGTATTCATTAATGAGAGTAAATATTGAATCTATAGTTGCAATAATATTTATTTAAACATTTTTTATATGCTTAGTAATTGATGTAAAACTTCAGCATGTTCAGTGAGAAGCACATACTGTTACTTATGCAACGTACGTCCTTTCTTACAGGTTAACTTAATTGGATAGCAGAGAGAAAGAACAAAATTCTTTTCTGATAATATATGGATGTGAATTATACTGCCGTAGAAAATACCTTCAAGATTATCCAGATAAGCTGTTGCTTTGTTTACATCACGACGGATTTGAAATAGTGATCCGTATTGCATCACACTGCAAGAAGCACACCATAGCTGGAGTCTTTTACATATATATTTACTTTGTATTGTGCTACTGGTACAAAATGCAGACAATTCAACAACTTGGATGTTACTAACTCTTCAGATGCCAGATAGTTTTATATGTCAAAACATCTAAAAGACTTTGTGACAAACAATGGAAACCATTCACAAGTAAAAGGAATTCCACCAGACAATGATTCCATGACTGCGTGAGAACACTTTGCTGTGTGTTAGGCCTTTTTTTATCATTTTAATATGATGTTTAGAAGTAAATAAAACTTGAAACGGACACACCTGTTACATTTTTGGTTTTCTTGCAGATCTTTGTTTAAAACATTGAAGTGTTTAGCTTCTAAACGCGAATCTAAGTGTTTAGAATTGCGTTTAAACTCTAAACATGTATGTATTTAGGTTTAAAACACTTTCCATTATGCGTACTGAAATTCAACATGTTTAAAATTTAAACGCATTAAAAAAAGTGTGACAAGAATGTGTTTAGAAATGTGTCTATCGTCTAAACACATTTTTTACAGTGTATACGCCTTTCCAAAAGGCGTTATTACGACTCTTTTTTTCAATACATTACTTATTTAGCCCTCCATGGGGGCATATTATAATTAGATTTCCAGGAAAAAAGATTTTTAAATGTGTAAAATATTTTCAGTGTTAAACCAACTTAGTCCTTCACTGATGCCAGACGCCTCTACTAAGGTGCATGGATTTAAGAAATTTGGTTGAAGGCTAATTGCTCATTATACCTATGCAAATAGTTTGCCTGTTTTTTTCCAAGAGGAGAGAAAAATATTTCAAAATTTGACATGGATTTTTAATACGTGGCTAGCAAAGCCCAAAGCTGGCTCTGCGTATATCCTGGATTTTCAAAAGTATAGTGTTGACTTCTCTTAATATGCATGCAAAATGCGAGATGTGCAGGAATATAAAAAATACTTTAATTTATAATATAATTGATAATATTAAAACTATAATCTAAATATTGCATAAATAAAGATGGCTTTGGTTCAATCTTTCATATATTTATTATTTTAAAATAACGCCTTTCCATTTTTTGATATAACTCTTTTTCAAACAGGCCGGTAGTACGAATGGGGGGGGGGGGCTCCCCCACCCCACTTTTTGGGAGAATAGTCTTGCTATAGTTTAAATATAAAAAATCATTTATTGATTGCTTGGTCCCTTAACATTTTGTTGCAGTATGGTTAAACTCGGGCAAGTCATTGCATTTAAAAAAAGTTTTACCGAAAAGTTAGAAAAAGATTCCCCTCATGTTTAGGCATTTTTTTTTGGGGGGGGGGGGCTTGTTTCTTGTTTTTTTTTTTTTTTGTTTGCTTGTCAATTTTATGGGAGGCTGCCCCCCCCCCCCCCCTCTTCAAAAGCACGGGCCTGTCAGAGACATAATATTGGCCCTTCAAAAGGAATAATAACGCCTTTTTGAAAGGTGTATTAATGCCTTTTAGAAAGGCGTAATAACGCCTTTTAAAAAGGCGTAATAATGCCTTTTAAAAAGGCGTAATAACGCCTTTTTTTTTAGAAAGGCGTAATAGCGCCTTTTTAAAAGGCGTAATTACGCCTTTTGGAAAGGCGTAATAACGCCTTTATTTGCGTTATTACGCCTTTTCCCGCGTTATAACGCCTTTTCAAAAGGCGTTATTACGCCTTTTTTCGGGTTATAACGCCTTTTAATTTTTTTTTACCGTAGTTTGATCCTAATAGGCTTTCGTACTTGGCAGCAAGCTGATAGCTGTCGTATATGGAATTCCATATATTTTAGTTTTTTTGTGTTTTGGGTTTTTTTTTTTTTTGTCTTTTGTTTGTTTGTTTGTTTGTTTTTTTTTTGTTATTGTTTTTTGGTGGTCATAAGACCCCTTATCTCATATACTGGTAGTACATAAAGATTTTTCTCTAAGAAGGGGGGGTAATTTCGCGAATTTTCTTGGTAAGAGTTGATATAAAAAAGCCCACTTCCGGTGTGATTCCACAAGAACGTGCTGACGACTCGATTGTCCTTGGGCTTGGTGCAAAACGCCGAACTTGAAGCTGCATGCAAGTAATTTGGCTATTATTGCACAGATAATCATAACGAACAACAGTGGATAACTGACATGTATTTTAATCTTGCAGTGTCATTTTGAATATTAATGATGAAACAGCAACTAGCAACTCGTTGCGTTATTCGTCACGCCCCTTTATCTTTTCACAATATTTTTGCTGTTTTACAAACTTGCAACCTTTTCACGTCATGTGTTTGAAACAGAGATGTTATTCATGCCTCTGGTTTGGGGAAGTGTGTGTGTGTGTGTGTATGGGGGGGGGGGTGTTAAGATGTTTTGTGCCTCGGTTGTTTAATGAAGTGTTTGGGTTTCGATTGATTGATTGTATGTTGTTTTACGTCCCGTACGAGAATTTATCAATCATATAGAAATGTCACCATATACTGGTGAAGGACTTCAAATTTATACCTTTCAAGATCCAGTTTAAAGACTATTTCTACCTAAGTAGCTATTAAAAGATACCTAGTATTTAAACCTACTTGAAGTAGCTACTTCTACCTACTTTTACCTGTCTTTGAAAATAAAATAAAATAATAATTATGGTGCATCTTTAAAACAGGACAAACTTATTGTCAATGTTTATCATCCTGTGCACTTCCACGGAAAAATTCAGGGTGATAATTTGAAAACTTTTCAAGGGTGGAGATTGGAGAAGAAATGCATTAAAAATCATCCAAAAAACATTTTATCTAAGAATGCTTGAAGATTAGTTTTAAAATTGATACAGATTTGTAAGTCATTTTAGACTTTGTTTTTATCCTTAGCTACCAGAAAATGAAACTGGATGGACTGATATTTTTAATGCAGAATTGATAAGCAGGATTTGAAATTAACAGTCGCCCACTCGCAATTTGCGACTAATGTTCCATGTGGGTGACTTAGAATAATGTTCAAGTTGCCCACATGGCGATTAGAAAATTTATGATAGTAAATATTTGTTTTTCAATTTTGTCCGAATGTTTTGTATTTTTCTCTTGAAAAATTTTGTAATCAGTAAAGTGCTTTATAATTACCCGTAAGAAGTACTTATACATAAAGCGTCTAAGTGATTGTGTTGGGCACAGTGTGGCATCGACGGGTCAATGAGCCCAAGAAACCAAAAAGTACTGTTGTTATTTGTGAATGAAAATGTGCCATGTGCTCTATATATGATATTGAATGATCATATCAATCTTCATAAACAGAAGAGTTCCACTTCAAATTTAGATAAGTCGTGCATAATGTTATAATGGATAGAAAAGAAACACGAAGCACATGATAAAAAAAAAAACCGAAAAATGGGGTTGTTGTTTTATATTCAATAGAAAGTTTGATAATTTGTGGGCGAATAAATTTTTGATGTGGGCCCCAGAATTGCAAGGTTCAGTAGCCCACATGGCTATCAAGGATTACAAGTTAGTTTAAAACCCTGATAAGTGAGAAAGTAATCATCTTTTGCCAAAATTTTTGTCGTATTCATCATCAGTGTGACTGTATTATCAGCTCACCTGAGCAGAAGGCTCAAGTGAGCTTTTCTGATCACATTTTGTCCGTCGTCCGTCTGTCCATCTGTCCGTCTGTAAACTTTTCACATTTTCGACTTCTTCTCAAGAACCACTGGGCCAAATTCAACCAAATTTGCCACAAAGTATCCTTGGGTGAAGGGGATTCAAGTTTGTTCAAATGAAGGGACACGCCCTCTTTCAAGGGGAGATAATTAGGAATTAGTGGAAAAAATAATGGCATCATTTAAAAATCTTCTCAAGAACCACTGGGCCAGGAAAGATGAAACTTATGTGGAAAGTTCCTCAGGTAGTGTAGATTCAAGTTTGTTCAAATCATGACCCCTGGGGGTAGGATGGGGCCACAATGGGGGATCAAAGTTTTACATAGAAATGTCTATAGGAAAATATCTTTAAAAATCTTCTTCTCATGATCAGCAAAGCCATGATAGGTCACATTTATATGGAAGTATCTTCAGGTAGTGTAGATTCAAGTTTGTTCAAATCATGACCCCCGGGGGTAGGGTGGGGCCACAATGGGTGATCAAAGTTAACAGAGGGATAGATAGGAAAAAATCTTTTTCTCAAGAACAGAAAAGCCATGATTAGTAGAATTGATATGGAGGCATCCATGGGTAGTGTAGAATGAAATTTGTTCAAATGAGGGACCCCGGGGGTAGGGTGGGGCCACAATGGGGGATCAACTTTTTACAAATGAATATATGGGAAAAAATCTGCTGCTCAAGAACAGCAATGCCATTTGTTATATTGATATGAAAGCATCATCAGGTAGTTTAAAATTCAACCCCCCCCCCACCCCAACCCCTGTTAACTTTTCAATACTAAACTGATTTTTGCTTTTTTTTTCCCTAGCCATTGTGCTCAGGTGAGCGATGTGGCCCATGGGCCTTTTGTTAAATTTGGTGCTCACCATATTGTGCCTTTCCTGTGTTTGGTCACAAAAAAAAAAAAGCAAAGCAAAAAGTAGGTAAAAATAGCTACCTGTAGTAGGTTTAAATACCTAGGTAGCTATAAGTAGCTACGTAGATAGAAATAGTCTTTGGACTGGACCTGCTTTACTCGGCACTCAGGGCCATTGAGCAGTGAGAGTTCCTTATCGTGCCAACACCTGCCATGACATGGGCTCGGATTCAAGGTCTCATTCGAAGGACCTCAACTTTCACTTCGAAGTGCTGATCTCTTGGGGAAGGAACAGTTGCTACCTATTTTTTTATATTGACTAAGGTCAGTTGTGGCCGTGATTCGAACACTTGACCCTCCGATCACGGAGCAAACTCTCTACCGACTGAGCTACCGTAATGGCTTGGGTTTTGATTTAAAATACAACTGTAGTAAATTACCCCTAGTATTAATTTTTGTGTGTTGGATGAGGGCATAGTAAAGTGGTTGACAGGTTTAGTTAAGCATACTAAGTATTTGGTTGAGTCACTTCTACACAGATATGAACAAAATTATGGAGGGATTTTAGCCAAACTTTCTCTAAAGTGGTGGGTTTTTTTTTTTCAAAAAGAACATTTTGTTTTACCTGTGTTTATGTATCTGCTTGTTCATGTTTTTAGTGATTATCTGAAAAAATCTAATTTAACAGTTCTATTTAATACATGGTGACTTCATTTTAATTTTTACTCAAGCCCTAGATGCAAGGAGTTAAAAAATGTAAATACAAGCATTGAATCATTATTTTTTGAAAGTTTCGTTGTTTCATATAAATTTTTGTTGGTAATTTTTGCTGGCCAAAATATCCTCAAGATCTTTCTGAGGCACCCATTATAGAAACTTGATAGTTTGTTTATACATGTATCACTTTCTGTCATCCTCCAGCATTCAGCACCATACATTAAGACAGATAGTACACAGCTCTTATACAGCTTGATCTTAGTGTGTCTGCTGATGCTGTTTGACTTCCTTATATTCTTAAGCTTGACAAAAGATCCTCTGGCTTTGCCTAATCTTGCTATTATGTCCTTGAATAAATAAATATACACTGTACTTATTAAATTTTTTTGGTGAATATTGCAGGGGTTGAAATTTTCCTGGAAAACTCACTAGCCCAGGGGCTACTGATCAGTTAAAAAATACTAGCCCAAACCTCAAACTAACTAGCCCAACAATTTTTTTATGTAAAATTAAAACATAACAAGTTAAAGTTCAAAACACTCTGATGACAGGAACAAATTAACTAGTTCTCAGTCGAAAGAGACAAGTATACATAGAAAAGCGAAAGTAAAATGACGAGAATTCTTTTTATTCCCATTCTCCTAGTCGGATGGACTATCATTACATTTATATTAGCTAGCCCGAGACTTAAAATGACTAGCCCCGGGCATTGGGCTACCGTATATTTCAACCCCTGTATTGACTTATTTATTGTGTATGACTTTTGCATGATTATGATTTAGATATACATGTATGACTTTGAATAATTCTGTACTTTGGGTAAGAATTATTTTCCTAAATAATTTGTTGTCCTCCTTGATTTTAATTTTATGTCATTCCTGCAATAAAGATGCATTTATGCATGTTGGAGACACCCAGATTGGTTAGAGACCAGAAGAGCTTATGCGATAGTAAGGTGTCCATCGTCCTTCCGTCTGTCTGTAAACAATTTTTCAAAATGCTACTCCTCCTACAGTTTTGGTCTGATTTCAATATAACTTGGCACACAAGTAGACTACACTAATATACATGATTCAGTGTATCGGTTTTTGATTTCGATGAACAGTGTTGCCATGGTTACTAAATATAGAAATTTCCTTGAAATACTTTCAAAATGCTATTCCTACTACAGTTTTGGTCTGATTTCAGTATAATTTGGCACACAAGTTGACTACACTTAAATACATAAATGTCTTTATTGTTTTTTGATTTTGTTGAATGATGTTGCCATGGTTACTGAAATTGAAATTTCTGTAAAATTCTTTTAAAAGGCTTCTCCTCCTACAGTTTTAGTCTGATTGCAATAAATCTTAAAAAAAAAGAGACTAAACCAAGGATCATTATTCTATTTATTGCTGTTGCAAAGTTTTAAGTCCAAGTGTTACTTTTATCTTTCCTTTGTCCAATCTAATTAAAATTAGATGTTCCGAATCCGCTACCGCTTCTCAAACATCTAACAACATCCCATTCGGGGTCACGTCAGAGCGACCTTTCGATTACCCAATGAAATCGCCGTCGTCGAAATCTTGGCTTATAGTTCGGATGCGATTCTTTTTTTACTGCCAAACCTAAACGCCCGAGGGGTTTCGTAGTAAACAAAATATGCATGGTAAAGACCGTGCTATATATGAATGTGACGTGGGGGATATATAGTAGTTTGTGCATTTTCGTTTGCGTTATTCAGGTAAGAATGCCAGACTGGCGGACTATAGCTCAGTTTATACCAAAATTACTTTAATTCATCGTAAGACAGTCTACTGAGCATCAATAATGTAAAGAAGTAGCCGTGGAACTAATTTTAGAATTGTATACAGAAGGTTGAATCTGATTGGCCAAAATTTTTATGTTTATTCGTAATCGAAAGGTCGCTCTGACGTGACCCCGAATGGGATGTTGTTAGATGTTTAAGAAGCGGTAGCGGATTCGGAACATCTAATTTTAATTAGATTGTCCTTTGTCATAAGTGCAAACCAGTAGAGCTACAGTCTCGACAGAGACTTTTTTTTGCAAATAGAATAAAAAATCTAACAAATATGATCTTTTTCAAAGTTTTTTTTATGTAGCATTTCAGAGTTTTGACATGATTGTCAGATTTTCCAACTATTTGCACAAGCAGTTTTTGTAGATTCTTGATTTTTGCGGAAAAAAATTTACATTTTTGTGCAGACTCTAATTTCGGTGTTTGTTTTAGTATTAAATTCTTATTTCTTGTAACTCTGTTTTGGGGATCGTCTAGACTGATCTTGAGAAAATGAATGTGTAGTATTGGTACAAAACTTTTTTTGCAGGGTAGTTTAGATTAATCTGTAGAGTATGTTTCTGAATAATGATGTTGATAGTAAGCTATCTGCATGCTAGCTAATTGAAGGAGTGGAATTATGCTACAAGTGATGAACAGGGATCAGTTGTTTCTACCAGGAAGCACTGGAGCAGTTGTAAATGAGTGGGACTAAGATTTGTCACTGAGGGGTTTATAACTTTGATTGTCTTCTGTGAATTAAAAGTTTCAGTGCAGTATTAAATACCATAGAACTAATATTTTTATCCATCACTATTTTTTTTTTTTTTTTGCAGTATGGGAAACCTATCTAAAATTGTGGACTCTCTGCCAGAACACTATGGGTGTGTTATCTTCACAGGTGTGGCCAGCACTTTTATAAACATGTGGATGGGTATTAATGTAGCCAAAGCTAGGAAGAAGTATGAAATTCCAGTAAGTACAATACATGCAAAGTTAAAAGTTGAATAATCTGTGTTTGGGGACAGCTTTCACCACAGTTAGAATATGTCCAATATAGTTGTAGTGTATCATGAATATAGTAAAATAGAGTGGATCCACTACAGCACAATTTTGGATATACAGTTGAACTTCGGTATCTCGAATACTGATATGTCATATACCATGGATATATCAAAGTGATTTCAAAGTCCCAAACACTTAATTATTCTTTAAGTATTTTACCCTCCATATCTTGAATTTCTCGGTCCCATTGAGTTCGAATTAACGAGGTTTGACTGTATTACTTACCTCAAAATAAGATGCCATGTTGACATTCGAAACTCTCTGAATTATTCGTAGTATACTCATAGATTAGAATGATCTATCCTGTTATTTTACTGCATTGCCAACACATGGAACAAATTATTTTGTTGAACCTTGTTTGTAGGACAAAATCAATTCAACGAAAGAACGTTCTACTTAAATTAATATTTGCATACAAAAGGAAATTTTTTTGTTAATCTATTTTACATCTTTATATTTTGTTAATAATAAAATCTTCTTACAACAATGTGTCATTTCATTTGTCTTGTTATTTTCTTTTTTTTTTTTTTTTATAACTATTTAGTACCCCAACATGTACAGTCCGGACAACAAAATGTTCAACTGCATTCAGCGTGCACATCAGAACACGTAAGAATATTAAAAACATATTTTGAAAACTCTGACTGTCTATCTGTGTTTGGATAGATATAGCTCAAAATGTAATTTTAAATGGCTTTATCATTCCTTGCTTCTTGAATCTTTATTTATTTAAGATGTTGATATTATATAGACTTTGTCAAACTGGTTATCTTGTCAAAAACCAAATGGCATACTATTTTTTGTTTAAATATTTCAGCATTTAAGATAACAATATCTTTTGTTTAAAATGACCAAGATAGTTACCGAGTATTTTAAAGATACTACCTTTAATTCTGATATTAACTTTTGAAAAACTACCATCAGTCAATGATTTAGTTATTAAAATTAGATTGCCATTCTGCCTTTACCCTAAAGTGTCAGTCTGTTCTGCTCTCTCATTGACCAGATGTTATTCATACTTCACCAACCTTTGGTAAAAGGTGTCCATGAACTGTAAACAAGGTTTCTAAATCAAAGATTAAAGTTAATTAAGACTCAAATTCATGGTTCCGGTTATAATGTCCTCTTTCTTTGATTCAGTACATTTATTATTTATATTTCACACATTGGATATCATTGGATGAAAAGTGTGCCATGACCGTGAACTTCATATTCAAAGGATAACTTCAAAATGTTGGGAGTATATTTTTTCTGTCTTTTGCTCAATATTTTTCATGTTTCATCCACTGAGTGATCATTGGTTATATATAAGGATGACCAGTGAAATTTAACCAATAGTGAAGATAGAATATTGTTAGAATTTTTTACCAGCAATATGCTTCTATACTTTTGGCCTAGCATTACCCACTTTTCTTCCGAAGGGTCTATTTAGGAGAGGGGTATGCAGATAAAGAACTTGATCTTTAACTCAACAAAGTTCAAGGTCATTGAATTAGACTGTACTCTATATTAATATTTCTCCCCATGTCCTTATATACCAATTCATATATATTTGTCACAAAGAGTCGTTGGTTAAGAATGTGAAATGACCAATTAAATTTCTAAGGTAAAGGTCAGCCAAAAAGAAAATTAGTATAAATTGTAAACACTAACCTGTATATGTGTAATATTTTATTTTTAGACTAGAGCGCTATATGTATTAATGTTTATATTTAGACTAGAGAGCTACCCACAATTCCTCATGCTGCTATTCATCGGAGGACTCCAGTACCCCGTAAGATAGATTATTTTTGTTTGGTTTGCTGGTGAAGATTTAAATATGCCTTATCTTTTGCACAAAATGCATGTATTTTGATGACGGGGTTTTGTAAATGATGTTCATAAAATGAAATAATCACCACTTACTTCAGCTAAATCTGTAAAATCACCAGAAGATAGTAAGAGTTTGCATTCTACAGACATTAAACTGTTGTACTTTTGATGTTACAGAGAACATCTGCCTGTGCTGGGACCCTGTATTATATCAGTAGAATTTTCTTTGCCAAGGGCTACTATACAGGAGGTATGTATATCCAGTCTGTGCAGACTGATGGTCTGTCTGTTTAAGGCTTGATGCTTTTTCTAAGTATCCTACATGCATTTAATATTGCAATCTGTACAATTTTTTTTCATTTAATTACCACATTGTTTAGTAAGAAAACTTGTTTAATACATTTGCGTGTATGTTTTTTAAGATAAATCAATATTCAAGGTACATTGTTACCTTTCCAAAGTTCTACAAAATCATGCCTGCTTTGCAGATCAATACTTATTGAAAAATACTAAAATTAAAAAAAAAAATAGATTCAATAAAGGCAATAAAGAAAATACTGTACATTTACAAAAATTGGCTTATACATTCAAAATTTAGCGCAATCTCTGGGTATGGAGTTGCTGGCAAAATCATTAATTAGCGCTCTACATGTCGGTGCCATATATTGTATTTATAAATGATTTCTTAGCGTTATTCATGAATTAGCGCATCGTTGTCTGCGCCAAAGCGGCTAAAATATCATAGATATGAAGCCCGTTTTTTTAGTGCACATACAGTAATATTGCTTAGAGCTGATATGACTCAGTTGAGAGTTATGACCCTTTATTTGGTAGAATGCAGCTTTCATCACATACACATGTATCCCAACATATATTGATTGTATTTTACAGAACCAGAGAAGAGGCGATGGGGATCATTTGGATATATTGGGTTGATCACCATGCTGGGTTGTACAGTGGGCGTCGCCCTCCGACAGCTCAAAGTCTTCCCTCATTAACTGTCCATTTAATGGGAATCTGACATTTTTTGTTGTGCTGTGCATAATTAGATTATTTAGCATTTGTTGTTTAACATTGAAAATGCTTGGTTGATTTCTTTTTTACTTCTATACTGATTATGTTTATATTGACACCGGTAAATATTCTTACACACAAAGAAAATACAAGTAGATTATAATTTATTGACAGAAATTACACTTTATTGTTGATTCTTATTGATTTGTAGTGTATTTCATTAGGAAATGTAATGATTTAATATACTTTTAAGTTTAATTTTATGCAGTTCAAAAAGAATTGTGAAAACAGAATTGCAATTAACATACAGTGGGTAATATCCTTGTTTGAAAAATCATGCTAAATGATTAAAATTTAAATAGAACTGTATGTCTGTCCCATCAGCTGGTTATTTTGTTTTGTCAGTTTTCATGTCCATAAGATTAGCATTGAGTGTTTTGTAGGTTTTGAATAACTGTCCTTGTATTTAATTGTTAGGACGATAAATATGTGATCATGATTAAATGGAAATGAAATGATTTAGTCTTTTTATTTGTTAATGAAACAGGTTGGCCAGGCCACTTGTACAGATTGGGTATGAATTTTCTTGAGTAGTATATTAATACTGATGGAGGAAGATTTATGTACCGGGGTATATGCTGAGATGAAGCAGCCACTCATCAGATTCTCATTCTTTAACTCCGGGGATATTGTACATGTACTTTCTCTTATGTGTTTTAAAAAGAAAACCACATAAAAAGAGGTCAGGAACCTGAATGGGAATACTTTCCCTGAGAGTTCATCTTCAGTGGTACAGCAGAGTGTGCCATTCATTCTTTATTTTTGCATGTAAAATGGTAACTTAAATGTTTTTTTTTCTTTTGAAACCAAGAGACACTTCCATGTCACAATATACAGTGTAAAGGAATTCAACAAAAATGAAACATTGTAATGTATATTAGTATTTTATTATGCAGTAATACAAGTTCTTCATAACAAGGTACATTATGCTTCAAAATTAGTATTTTTGACATAAAAATATTTAATGTCTAAACAACTTGAATTAAAAAAATATCTGTGGATAGAGGAGTAATAAATATGAGTATTGGCTATATTAAAAACTGATCTGCTGGTACAATGTAAGTCTGATTGTAAACATTAAAAGGTAGTATTCCTGAGCAAAATAGTGCTTTTAATTGTTTAAAAATAATTTGCAGCATATTCCTCAAAACAATGCCTGAGTGATATGTTGGTATTTTCATATAAATGTGGAACCATCTACTAAAAAAATCTCAGCACTTATTTGGTACAATTAAAGATACTGTGAGCGAATGCACAAAATGATACCCCTGCAAAACTTCATTCTGTTTTCCAATTAGTGACCCTGACCTTATGCAAATAACCTTGTGTTTGGTTCCCCAGAAAAAGAGATGTATCTTCCTCTGTCAGTGACCTGGCATAATTCACTATTTTGTTAATTTGAACTAATGTTTCTCAATTACAAAAAAATATGGCCTGGACAGAAATGTTATACTTTTTCTGCCAGTGATTTGAATCTGCCCAAATGCCTGGATTAAGGCCAGAACAAATCGTTCGGTTATAAGCAATTATTGTGACCAGTATCTCTCAATGTTTTTTTTTTCCATTACAAAGTAAATGGCTCAGACACAGCTGTAAGAATAAACAGCTGACAGACAGGCATTTCCTACATATAAGTCTAAAGTTTGCCCGGTGTATAGAAATATGTACATGTACATGTATTACCATATAACCATTTAAGTATACCTATAAATTTTGCAGGGTGTATAAAAATATGTACATATAGGCCTACTGTATTACTATTTATGAGTATATGTTATATGTTCAATTATATTTACATATTAGTGAATGAGTATTTCTTTGTAGAAACACTGTAGAATATAATTTTGAAATGAATATTTACAAACATACAGATGTTTTTGCACTGAGGGCCAGATCTACAATTATGAATGAAACACACATATATATACAGATTGTGGACATATTATTAAAAAATCATCAAAATAAAATAGGTAAAGAGAATGATAACAAATGTCAAGACTTGGGATATTCTGTCTCTCACTGATTAGCTAAGTTACATCAAATCATTTGATTTAAAAAAAAAACAACCTTGTATTAAGTGAGCAAGTCTGTGTATGTTAATGACAGAGCCACATTAAGAGCTAGAATAGTCATGCTAAATGTGTCATTCTATAAGTATAAGGAATTGTCATAAACTTATGGAAAGGCATTAAAGTACATCATTATGTAAACTGATAAACATACATAAACAGATGGATTGTTCTTTTTTCAGTCTCAAAATAACTGTATGGCTCAAAAATACTTTGTATAGTTAACAATTAATTGCACATTCAATACTCAAAAACCATACACACGATCTACTAAAAACACTGTAACACAGTGAATCACAATAACATGTAAATTCTTATTAACAAAAAAAAGGTCATTCTTCATAATAATAATATATAAAATATCTATATGTAATCTTGATGACAGCCAGGTTCAAATCAGCATATTAAAAAAAACAGATATTTAACAGCTGTCCACAAAATTGTCACTCAAAAACATCACAGGTAAAAAAAAAAAAAAGAGTGCCTGTTAATTTTTCAGCTTCAAATTTTTATAATAAGGCAAAGATTGCTTCACAGCCTTCTCAAATGAGTACAGTGGAGAGTATTTAATCAATGTCTTAGCTTTGTCATACTTAACGTAAAATTTCCTTGTGGAAAAAATAATTCCTGATAAACTCAGGGAAAAAGAGATTCTTTTAAATGGTGAAATTAGAAGACAAAATGTTTCCACAATAAGACAAATGGCAAACACCAAAAACAAAGGGATGTAATACGATGTCAATTTAAACCCCCTACTCTCTAAAAATGGCTGACTCAGTACCTGAAGAGATTGGGGAGGAGTGTCGTCCATGATAAACATTCTCTCATTTCCAAAGTGAGGATCACCATACATTGATTTTAAACAACATACAAACCCCCAAGCTACATTGCCAACATAGGCATAGGCTTCAAGATTGTGTCCTCTGCCCATGCGTATGAATGTGCCCTTGTTTTCTTCTGCATACTGTAGGATCATGGCAATCAGCTTGTCTCCCTCTCCATACATTGTTGGCGGTATTAAAGATACAGTTCTCAATTTCTTCCCTTAAAAATAAAATTCCTCCTTTAAATGAAACAGAATTCAAAAGAATGGCGATTTTTTTTTTTTCCACCTAATGCACTTTAAGATTATCTTCTTACTTTCCAATAAACTATTTCCTATTTATCAAAATATATAATATACATGAACATATATCAATAACTGACCATTTGATAGGAGTGTTCTGTCAGCGTTCAGTACCAGTTTCTCTGCCTCCTTTTTGGTACCTCCATAATCTCTGAATAACAATGGACTGACGTCCTTGAGTTCTGCTTCAGTCCCTCCCAGACAGTGGGAGTAGCCTTGAACGGTACTGATAGAGGAGCAGTAAATCAAACTAGTGACACACTCCTCCAGGCAGGCAGAGATCACATTCATGGTGCCTACAATAGGTTGTGTATAAAAATATAGCTGCAATACCAGGGCACTGTCAGAATCAATATCTTCTTAGCATTTTTATGCTGTTTGCTCAAGTGTAATTCTATACAATACTTGTATATTTTAATTCACTGAATGTTTTCTTCCTTACATCTCATAAAAACTGTACTGCTGTTTATCTGAAGTAATAAACAAAATATATTCATAAACCAGTTAGATCTGGGCTTTTAATGTGTATATGTAGATTTAACTCAAAATGTGAGAGAATAGTTAAAGGTCAACTTTTTCATGGCCATTCCATTGACATAACCTATGCTTAGATCAATAATACAATATTTTACATACTTTCATCTACTTTATATAAAAAAAAATTAAAAATAAATAAAAATATAAATGTTTTTCTTTTCTTTTTTTTTTTTTTAAAAATTAATAAGCTTTGGTGGATTATGTATTTTTCCGTAATATTGCAACCATTTAATATCTCCTGTTTTTAAAAAAACATAATGAAAGCATTTCATTGCTTTAGTTTACAGTACTATAAAAATATTGCATAATGACAGTTACTGTAAATGATAATATGTTGACTAGAAATGGTATTTATGCATGAGGCATATAAGAATCCCTTACTAAATTGTACACTAATGCTCATTCAAACAAGATGTGTTTGTGAAACACTGGTGCCCCTGTACGGCAGCTCAGGGCTAAGGTTAAAGTTTCTCATATGCAAGTCAAACTCCAAGGTCAAGGTCAAGAGATCAAAAATGTTGGTACCCAAGGCCAAAAATAAAATTAACTTTGTTTGGCGTTGCCGGCTGACTCCCATAAATAGGTGCGGTCCGAAGAATTTTTTCAACAGATACTGATCATAATTTTTATTTCGTTATATTCATCCAGATTTAGGTGTTTGTACGTTTGCGTATACAGAATGGGAAAGAATCATGTAAACGCTTGATTTATCAAACAGTTTTCATTTATAAGCATCTATGTGATGTTGAATAAATGTGTATCACAAATTCAAGCATGGCTGTAGAAAGCAGAAAATGTAAACTCGTATAACAGAAGTTGATGGCATGATTCTGTGGATGTGGTTTTAAAAGTAAACTGATGAATAAGATATACCAGTTCGAAATAGAAATTTCACGGTACAATGTCCTGTCCGATTTGCTAGATGAATCTAGCTGCTATGCTTGGATTCGTGCACATGATAACGACTTTACACTAATGTAATGTCGGTGATTTTTAATACCATGTATATTAAAGGTTTAAAACTAATAAGGTTTGAAAATCAGTGACAAAACTGGGAATCAATTTGGACTGTGGTTGTTGTTAAACTATCGGAAACCCATGACGTTCGGATACTAACAATATGTACCATTTCTGAAATTTTAATTAAAAAAAAATATTTTCCCTACCTACCGACCCAAACGTATAAATACTAAGTCGGCAACGCCAAACCAACAATATTTTAATTGTGGCCCAAGGGAAGGTCTTGTCACAGGAAATATACACCTGTGAAATATGAAAGCCCTAGCACCTATCATTCAAAAGTTACTGCCAAGGTTATAAATTTTTTCAAAAGTATGTCAAACTCAATGGTCAAAGGGTCAAAATTTATGGTGCCCAAGGGAAGGTCTTTTCCCAAGGAATACACATGTGAAATATGAAAGCCCTAGCACCAACCATTCAAAACTTATGGTCAAGGTTGAAATTTTGCAAAAGTAGGTCAAACTCTAAAGTCAAGATGTCAAATATGTTGGTACCAAAAGAAATGTCTTGTCACAAGGAATACACATGTGAAATATGAAAGCCATAAAGCCAACCAATCAAAAGTTATGAGCAAGGTTAAAGTTTCTGCAGATAAACAGACAGAGAGACAGATGGACAGAGCATAAACTATATGCCCCTAAATATTCCATTACGGGGGCATAATAAAAAAAATTTCAGCAAGTAAGATGTCTGAAATACAGTTTTGTAAATTATGAGAAATATACTTTGAAATATCTAAGGATCTAATAAGAGTCACTGACATCTTATATTAACACACTAGCTTCATCAAATATTTCTGTCAGATGAAATAATAAGGCCACATGTGCAGAGTGTATAGCTTACATTTTATCCATGTGATTGCAACACTAAATTGCTACGGTATAAACTTACCCTGGACATTAACTTTTTGAAGAAGTTTTTTATCTGGCTGAAACCTAACATCTATAATAGAGGCCACATGGATCACAGCAGTTGCATCACAGAAAGCCTTCCTAAGAGCGGCTGTCTCCCCTAGACCCCCTGTATAACTCTTTACCTTTAATCTGTCTTTGTAGTCTAAAAAGTACAAAATAATTCCATCTTATACAAATTACATATACTTCCCAAAGCTAGCCTTGGTTAAAGCAGGTGGTACTCACATTGTAATTTGACACATTTATTACAAGTTCTTTATTAACACAATGTAAAATGTACAATGTCTTTATCTGCTCAAAATATTTTTTAAATATGATATTATAATGTGAGTATGAAAGAGGGATCTTTTTCACATTATCCTACCATTAAACTATTGTAGTTTGAAAATTACCGAGAAACTTGACAAAGGGTACCAAATCAAACACCCTGATGTCTGTCACCCAGGGAGCATTTAACTGGAGGTGTTTGACGATGTGCTGACCCAGGAACCCGGAGCCCCCTGTCACCACCACTGAACACATATCTCCCAGCAGAGTGCTGCAGTCTGCACATTAATGGCTGCTTGATCTCTTGAGTAGTTCCTCCATTATTTCAAACATCTTACTGTAAATATTTTCAATAACATTTAATGACAAATATGTATTTATAAAAATGATAATTATACTGTCATTATATAGAATACTAATTAATGCATGTCTGACTTATTGACTATACCATAGTGATGGGAATCCGTAATGAGAATTTCATAATCCATGACTGGTTTTCTGTAACTAACTAATTTATTGGATATAATTGGAAAACAAAAATTATACATAATGATTAACCATTAAATTATTCAAAAGCTAAAAACATCATAATTAACCATTAAAAAAAAAACAAATAGTAATATGTGTACGAAGACTTTTATTTTGTGAGAAAAAGCATGTTGAGCACCCATTATTAGGAAAAAAAAGAATGAGGCCATCATTAAAAGAAAATATGTCTGATGAATACTGACCCACATTTTTCAAGATAGGTAGGTATTTCGAGGATGGGGGCATTACCTAATACATTAAAGGTCATAAATAAGAGGCCCATGGGCCACATCGCTCACCTGAACACAATGACTAGGAAAAAGCACAAATCAATTTAGTGTTGAAAAGTTTACGGGGGATGGGGGGGGGGGGGGGTGAATTTTAAACTACCTGAGGATGCTTCCATATCAATATAACAAATGGCTTTGCTGTTCTTGAGTAGAAGATTTTCAAAGATTTTTTCCTATATATTCCTTTGTAAAAATTTGATACCCCATTGTGGCCCCTCCCTACCCCCAGGGGTAATCAGTGGAACAAAATTTAATCTACACTACCCGATGATGCTTCCATATCAATATGACTAAACATGGCTTTGCTGTTCTTGAGACAAAGATTTTTTTTTCTTTATATTCCTATGTAAAACTTAGATTCCCCATTATGACCCCACCCTACCCCCGGGGTTCATGATTTGAACAAACTTGAATCTACAATACCTGAGAATGCTTCCATTTCAATATGACTAAACATGGCTTTGCTGTTCTTGAGAAGATTTTTAAAGTTTTTCCTATATTTCTATGAAAAACTTTGATCCTCCCTTGTGGCCCCACCCTACCCCCAGGGGTCATGATTTGAACAAATTTGAATCTATACTACCTGAGGATGCTTACATATCAAAATGACTAAACAATGTTTTGCTGTTCTTCAGAAGAAGATTTTTTAAAGATTTTTTCCTAAATATTTCCTTGCAAAACTTTGATCCCCCATTGTGACCCTACCCTACCCCCAGGGGTCATGATTTGAACAAACTTGAATCTACACTATCTGGGGATGCTTCCATATCAATATGACTAAACAATGTTTTGCTGTTCTTGAGAAGATTTTTAAAGTTTTCCCCCATATATTCCTCTGTGAAACTTTGATTCCCCATTGTGGCCCCACCATAACCCCAGGGGTCATGATTTGAACAAACTTAAATCTAAATTATCTGGGGATGCTTACATATTAATATGACTAAACAATGTTTTGCTGTTCTTGAGAAGATTTTTTCCTATATATTTGTGATAGGGTGATTTATTTCATATATTAATTATTATATTTCAGGATTAAATTAATTCAGTTAAATTGTCATATTTATTTCTTTACAGCATTTCATTTATTGAATAAATCCACATGGAATTATTTACATCAATCTGTGTTTATTGAGTTATTTATAGATGTATGACATCACAGTGGTCATTTAAACCCCTGTCCCTTTTCTATATATATCTTGTGTAGTGTCCAGGCCAACTTGGATTTCATTGGTTGGTTAGTTTCCCTCTCTTTTGGTTTTACTTAGTTAATTACTTTTGTTGGAGATCTTGGTCTGAGCAGACATATTGGCTTTTTGATATGATATGACTTAATTATGACAATGACCAAGACAGGACAGAATGCAAGTTTACTTTTACTATTTTCATTATCTCTATATAATTGTTTATCTGTTAAATTCCCAAATAACAATATTCTAATATAAAGTATGAAAGTTCAGTTTGTGTGATTATTTTATGACTTTGTAAATATTCACAGTAATAAGTATATTTTATATCTGTGAGAATAAGTGTGCAATACAGTAAAGTTATATAAATTTATTATTCATACACAGATCACTGAATAGAGTACAGCTGTGTTCAGCTTTATATATATTGGAGTTATGGCTCTATATCACATATAGGTATGATGTATATATATTTTGAATATTGTCTATATAATTATATTATTCTGGAAGAGTTCAGTATAATTTGATCTCATTGTTTTATCTATATATTCCAGTGTTTATACTTTGTACATATTATTGATTAAGAAAGATAACTCTTAATGTTTTATCTATGAGCACAATTAAAGGGAAATAACTTCATTTTACCGTGCTATCTGGCAAGTGATCAACATGTATCTTTTGTTATAAAATATTTATGTTTGTTCAATATATTTCAGAGCTGTGATACTACTGATAATACTGAGATTGAATATATTTATCCACAACGACAGTATGGTGTTTGTCATTATTTTCCTTTAAACGAACCCCATTTCATATTTCTATGCAAAACTTTGATCCCCCATTGTGACCCTACCCTACCGCCTGGGGTCATGTTTTGAACAAACTTGAATCTACACTATCTGAGGATGCTTACATATCAATATGACTAAACAATGTTTTGCTGTTCTTGAGAAGAAGATTTTTAAAGTTTTTCCCCATATATTCCTCTGTAAAACTTTGATCCTCCATTGTGGCCCCACCATAACCCCAAGGGGTCATGATTTGAAGAAACTTGAATCTACAATACCTGAGGATGCTTACATATTAATATGACAAATCATGGCTTTGCTGTTCTTGAGAAGAAGATTTTAAAGACATTTTCCTATATATTTCTATGCAAAACTTTAATCCCCCACTGTGACCCCACCCAACTCAGGGGGGTCATGATTTGAACAAACTTAAATCTACAATACCTGTGGATGCTTCCATATCAATATAACAAATCATGGCTTTGCTGTTCTTGAGAAGAAGATTTTTAAAGTTGTTTCCTATATATTCCTATAGAAAACTTTGATCCCCCATTGTGGCCCCACCCGACCCCAAGGGGTCATGATTTGTAAAAACTTGAATCTACACTATATAACAAAGGTTTCCTATAAGTTTCAATTTTTTGGGCCATTGGTTCTGGAGAAGAAGATTTTTAAAATATGCCACCAAATTTTCACTATTTCTGAATTATCTCCCCTTGAATGATGGCATGGCCCTTCATTTGAACAAACTTAAATCCCCTTCACTCAAGGATGCATTGTGGCAAATTTGGTTAAAATTGGCCCAGTGGTTCTGGAGAAGAAGTTGGAAATGTGAAAAGTTTACAAATGGACGGACAGACAGACAGGCAGACAGACAGACGGACTACAGACAAAATGTGATCAGAAAAGCTCACTTGAGCTTTCAGCTCAGGTGAGCTAAAAATATGACCAATCATGGCTTTGCTGTTCTTGAGAAGAAGATTTTTAAAGATTTTTCCTATATATTCTTATGTAAAACTTTGATTGCCCATTGTGGCCCCACCCGACCCCCGGGGGTCATGATTTCAACAAACTTGAATCTACACTATCTGAGGATGCTTCCATATAAATATGACCAATCATGGCTTTGCTGTTCTTGAGAAGAAGATTTTTAAAGATTTTTCCAATATATTCCTATGTAAATCTTTGATCGCCCATTGTGGCCCCACCCGACCCCCGGGGGTCATGAGTTGAACAAATTTGAATCTACACTACCTGAGGATGCTTCCACTTAAGTTTCATATTTTCAAGCACAGTGGTTCTTGAGAAGAAGATTTTTTAATGATACAATTAATTTTTCACGAATTCTTAATTATCTCCCCTTGGAAGAAGGCCTGGCCCTTCATTTGAACAAACTTGAATCACCTTTACCCAAGGATACTTTGTGGCAAGTTTGTTGAGTTTGGTTGAAATTGGCCCAGTGGTTCTGGAGAAGAAGTTGAAAATGTGAAAAGTTTACAGACGGACAGACAGACAGCTAAACAGATGGACAGACAGACTACAGACAAAATGTGATCAGAAAAGCTCACTTGAGCCTTCAGCTCAGGTGAGCTAAAAATTCATTTATGTTTTCATTATACCCTGGACAAAGTACTTTATGATTTAATAACATTTACTGCTGTAAAAACTTTCAATCTAATCTAAAAAGTGACACAGAAAAATATGATACATGTAAACCATAACTTTGAAAACAATACAAGTTATCTATATTTACCCGGGAAAAAAATTACTGAAAAAAAATGATGGGGTAGGGGCAATTTTGATGGTTTGGTCAGAGTATATCAATAATTTTTCATTGTTGGCCTTAGGTGCCATTACTGAGCACCTTTTCAGGGTACCGTATACGAGGGGTTATCAAAAAGTTCGTGGACTGAGGCGATAAAATTAGTACTATGTATTCTGTGCTTTCAAAATTTATAAGGAACATAAAACAACAAAAAATAAAGAAGTGTTGAAAAATTTAGCTTGATACGTTCATTATTTGCCAAATTATTATAAAATAAAAACGATATTATATGATCACCCGGCGCTGTCTCTGTTTAGTTTCATGACGTCCGACAACGTCATTGTTTTTCAATGTCTGATTCTTCTACCTCAAACACTTATCTTGATGAGATTCACTGGAGCTGAGTAAGGACTAAAACACGTCTTGTTTATATGACTTTACAATGCCATGAACAGCTGCTTTCAATGCATATAATATTGTAAATGGATTTATACATTGGGAGAGATCCTCGCTTGATTATGCAAGCATATTTTGATTTTTAGAGTTCAATATCTATCTCACATGATCAACGTCGTCTTTTGACATGATTGACTTTTCACACCTTGACTACAAATCGACATTAACTGTTAATCCCTTTTCTCTTTGAATTTATTTTGGCATTAAAAAACAAATACTCTGGATGCATTTTATTTCTCTATAGCCAGTTTAAACATTTCCTAGGTC